ATTAAAGCCAAAAAAAAAAAAAAAAAAATTAAAGAAAGCCCGCAAAACGTTAAAAAAAAAAAAACCACCAACAAAAAAACCGAATGCCAAGTTGCAAAATGTCTGAGCGCCCGCTCTTATCCCGCGGGGGTGTTTCATGTTGACAAGACGCTGTTCTTTTGGTTGGGTTTTGCTTTACTTTAAAGGGTTTTTATATATATATATAATATGTTTATTTACTTATTTAAGGGATTGCTATGGTAGATTTTTTCTATTATTATTATTATTAATTATTATTATTTTTGGCTTGTTCTCTATGTGCACAGGTGACTTGTAGAGCATGTGCAGGACGAAACTGTATGAAGCAGCCTAAAACCGTAATAAAATATTTGGTGAACGACCCTCGCATCTGCTTTGAAATGACGGTGTCGGTCTCAAGCCCGCCAGTTTACGCAGAGCAGATCTCCGAGGCCACGGGTGTTTCAGCATCAGCTCGGCAAGAACCGAAATAGCCGGGTCCCCGGGACCGGGGGTGATGTTTTTGCGAGGCAGGGCAATAACAACACAAAAAAAGAAAGGAGAGAAAAATGGCTGGGGACAGCCCAGCCGGGGAATCCAAGCTTCCTCCTTCACTCGGCAAATGCAAGGAGAAGATGGGGAATTAACAGCCCTCCGTGCCCGGGAAGGGCCGGATCGGGGGCGAAATAACCCTAAATCCCGGTCCCTGCGATGTGCCAGGGGCTCTCCCCACCATCCGCCTCCCTCGCTTTGTTTTGCGGCGGTTTTGCTGGAGGAGACCAAACGCCAGGTCTAAGGAGCGTGCTAAGCTTTTTTCCCCCCGCAGAAGGATTTTATATTATACAATTTGACATTGATCTTTAAATCGCCTGAGCTGCGCTTTTTTTGTCCGCTCGGTCTCATCGCGTTTACTTCCCCGTCCCCAGCGAGATGCCTCCCCGGTAAGCTGATTGCTCGGCCCGTTTTATTTAGCAGGCGAAACCTTGCACCGGGGGAGCGGGGCAGAGCCCAACCCGCGGCGGTGCCAGGGATGCCCGGGCTCCTGCTCCCCTGCGAAGGCACGG